AAATCAAATATTCTCTTGAGCGGACAGCTTAACGGACAAATGTGAAATAAACATTTTTAAATACATTTAAGTTCATACAATATTTTTAATTTAATCACCAATATATGAATCTTACCAAGTTAAATCATAGTTATCTGTTAATACCACCGTATTGGAAGAATAATCAAAGCAATTCCCGGACAAGTGACTAATATACCCCACGGTTCTAGGAACACCCTCTACCTTGAGTAGCAGTTGAATTTGAAGTTGGTGATGCGACGGCACTTGGAATGCGTTTAGTATCCCCCGACCCCCTGAACCTCCTAACCCCCCCCTGGACCAACCCGCACCGCCCCTCCCCTCCCCTGCACCACCCCCTCCGCCCAGCGACGAATGCGTGGAATGTTAATGCAGCTACTTCTACTTGTGCCTGTTGCCTCGGTGACAACATCCATCGCCACTGGCGGAGGAATGGGCACAAACATTTACCTAATCCATTTCCCATTTCCAAGGCGACTGCTCTCGTTCCCGTTCTCGATTCCTTACCCATTTGGGTGTAACTTGGATGGGTTTGTTATTCCTGTTTCATATATAACAGGGGCTACCCCACACACATCCAATATTTAAATACGATTTTTACACAGAACACTTCAAAATAAAATGTTTTATATCACGGGCTAGACCTATAGAAGTACACTCAATTTCAATAAACTTACAAATAGAAGTACTTGTGGATCTTATTATGTACAAATATATTTAACAATTCCTTAAAACCAGGAAAACCAAAAGAAGCCAACATACTTAATACTTCCTAAGGTCAGTTGGGAATAAATACATATTTAATAAAATAAAAAAAATAGTACCTATAACAAAATATTTATAATATCTACAGGTACACATAAGTTGTATGCTGTTAATAGATAGGTTTAAAAAAAAATAGGAAAGGATCTTTAAGGGTAGAAGATAACATTTTATAACATGGACACCTGTTGAAGAAGCCTCTTTGCTTAGCTTAACCTAATCCTACTTGGAGTTAATAGCGAATATGGGACTCGTGGTGGCGGCCACGATTGCCTTCGCTGTGGCGGTGGGCTTCTTCTGCCTGGTGGGGGACTTCTCCGGCAGGAGGTAGCCTAGGGAGCAGAGGAGCACTACGAGGGCCAGCAGGGCCCAGAAGACGGTATCGCAGCTGGCGAAGAACAGGCGCCCGAGGAGATTGCTACCCATCACGGCGCCCAGTCGACCCACCATCATGATGAAGCACATGCCCATGGCGTTGATGTGCGTCGGATAGAACTCCATGGCAATGGTGCTGACCAGGCCACCGCAATTGCCGATGGCCATCACAATGGTCAGGGCGATCACCACCAGGGCGAACTTCTCCACATAGTGCAGGGCCACCAAGAAAATCATGGTCAGAACCATCCAGGCCACTAAAATGGAGAGGGTACACTCAAAATAATAAAAACCCATCCACTTTTCTCAGGGCTACTCACTCAACAGATTCTTCTTGCCTATGTAGTCGATAATGTAGGCAAAGAGCAGGTAGATCATCACAAAGCAGGCTCCAATGATGATCATCACCTGGTACGTGGAGGTGTCCACATCCACTGAGCATCCCGCATCCACCGACCCCGATTCCACCTTGAAGTCCTGCAGGACATCGCAGAGCAGGGTATCATTGCCATTGCGTGTGCCCAACTCATCCAGAATGGTGGGGAACCACATGAAGATGCCCTGGGCTAGGAAATAGATAAGGAACTGGATGCAGCAGATGTTCAGTGTGTGCCACAGCCGTTGGCGATGGAAGAGCGGCACTGTCTGGTGCCAAACGAGACGCACTGCATCGAGGAAGCCATGGACATCGGACAGACTGGCACCACCACTCTCCAGAGCCACTTCCTTGACCGGATATTCAGCGGGATCTTTGCCGGAGTTCTGGGCAAAGATGGAGCGCAAGATTTCCAGCGACTGATCGCCATGTCCCTGGACGAGCAGATATTTGGGTGTCTCGGGAAGAGTGCTGATCCCCACGAGGGCCAGCAGGGAAATCGAGACGTTGGCCAGGAGCAGAACGCGCCAGGACGAGAAGCGCATGCCAAGGACAATGGTCTCGATGCGCAGCGGCAGTATTCCAATTGCCATGGCTGTAAAAAATAGTAGATAGAAAAAAAAATCCTCCAAATTTGGTATCAAAACGTGTGTTGAAAGCTTAAGTTAGGAAAACAATGCGTATGCTTTATGTCACTGAGAAATATGTGCAATAAAATCAAGTATACGATAGGTTGTGCAGTACAAAATGGTGGTACAACACTGCATATGATTGAAAATACCAATATTATTAAGGTTATATCACTTAAATGGTAATTTTATGTGTCTAAAAGTATCATGTGAATAAAAGATAGTCGTCTTTCTAAATGAATTCATTGTACTTATGAGTGTAAAATATATTATTGCATACTTTTAGACACCTAAAATAAAAATTTTAAAGAGATTTTAGGGCCCAACTGATTCGTGATGTACCGCAGTATATACTTTAAGAACCCATCAATGGTTTACCTTTGAAAACACTCACCTGGAGCAAAAATCATGGCCATGCAGAGGAATCCGGAGAGCAGGGTCACATGCCTAACCCTCGAGCCACTCCCATGGAACTCGCCGCACAAGCTGAAGACGCACGCCTGTCCGCCGGAAATGAAGAAGCCCGTCAGAAAGCGGAACACTATCAGCATCCAGATGTTCACCGAGAAACCGGAAACGATCGAACACACGGAGCTCAGGCACAGGGCGTACTTCAAGGTGGTGGCCCGGCCCCACGTATCCGCCAGGAAGCCCATGGCATGGGAGCTAAGGACGACGCCCAGGAAGCCGGCGGAGGCCAGGATGCCCTGCTGGTCCAGCGTCGGCTGGAGGTCGCACTTCATCTGGTTCATGATCAGGCTCACGCCCATGATCTCCACCATCACGCCCATGAAGCACAGTCCGCAGATCAGCATCAACTTGTAGTGGAAGCGACCCACTCCCGTCAGCGTGATGGCCTCCTCGAAGGTGTGTGGCCGCGGCTTCACGGAAAGGTGCTCCTCCCGGTCCCCAGAAAGGGCTATTTTACAGGGAGAGAAAATATGGGTATTAAGGGGACACATTTTAAGAAAATTGGTTTAGAATTGTAGTTTGAAATTGCAATTTAAGATGATATATGCTTATACCTTTAATCTAAAAAGCACTACCTATGCAAACTAAAAAAAATAAAATATGTATCATGTATGCATTAATTTAAGTGTATATAGAATCTATATTATACATAGATATTAACTAAAAGCCTCTAACCATTCGTCATTATGATGAACAAATTTAATACAATTTTGTATAAGTGTACATATGTATGTAGATATAAGCATCCAACTTGAAAGTCTTTATGTATTAATCACTATAAATTACTAAATTAAATAAAATTATAAATTATTTCAATAAAGTTTTCAAGTTACTAATTATTACAAATAATGGTGTCTATAGATATGCTTCAAAAATAGAACTTAGATGAAATCTTGATAAGTGATTTGAGATTTTCTGTATCTTTTTTTTTATCTTCTGATTTTAACTTTAGAATCTAAGTTTCTAAAAATATGCTGCGGACCATTTATATTTACAATTGATTAGATTACGTTCATGGATTTTTTTCAGTGAACGCATCAAGTCGGATCAGTCAATAACTGCCGCTTATTAGAAGCCCTAGAGTATATGGAATAATTAAAGATTCCCTTAAATAGCTCGTATTGCAATCAATCCCAGTTTAGTTGCCATTTAATCATGGCCTCAGCCGCTTTGGACTTGGGGAAAAAATCGGAGGACATCCCGGACGACGTTCGTCTGCCCCAGGAGCAGCCCCCTTCACCCTTTTTCGAAACGAAAACCTTCCGCCTCATCTCGATATTTCTGTATCTGGGAGGGATCAGTGGCCTTGGCATGGTGCTGGCACTATACTATCTCATGTTCTTCGACTCCAGCATGCCGGACATCCACCTCAAGTTCCCCGTCTCCATTGGAGGCCACCCAGTGCAGAAGGTGCACGAGTACCAGTGACCATTTGGCCATTTAACCCATCCAGGTGGTAAGTACGAGTGCAAGTACCTTCTCATTTGGGAGGGGGTAAGGGGTCAGACTGCGGCTAATTGGATTTGAAATGCTAGCAAAGGCGGGAAAAAATGCGACTGTCTTACACTCAACTAGTGAATTCCCTTGAAAAAATATTGTATATTCATAAATCCATTCAAAAAATGTGTAAAAAAAATCAACAAAAATAATTTTCAATATTTAAAAAAAAATTAAATGATCTATCATCGTTTTTTAAGAATAGGGGAAGTTTTTACTAGAAACTTGTGCATAGATACAATATATTTATTAAAAGAGCTATATGTAAAAAATATTTTTCGAAACCTAGCGACTAACACATTCTCGGAACTTTACTTGATCAAAGTACCTACAAGTCAATCTATTGCCCATAAAGGGTATAAGTGCTCATTAAGTGTATTCTATAACTCGAAGTCTCAAGTCAGTGATCTAACTACCTTTATAAGCTTAGAAATTCGTCTATGCCCTCTACCCAGACACGCTATTCATCACCATCGTCACTTGCATTTCCTTGACCGAACATGAATATTGAATCTACATACGACCAGTATAAGTATACTAGACCACAAAACTGAAAAGAACGACAAGGAATGAAGTGAAGTGGGTTGGAATCGGGATTGGAGGAGTGACGACTACGACGACGACGATGGCGGGAAATCAAACCGGGTCAAGTGGTCGTCAAAGAACGCAGCACGTGATGGGGGGATCTGGTTGGGCCTGGGGTCTAGTACTTGGGCACTACTCGTAGTGCAACTGGCGAATCTTATTAGCGTGGCCCCCAAGACGATGCCCCCTCCTTTGGGGCCCAACCCCCAAAGAAACCGCAAAAAACAGTCGAGCGGAATGCGAAAACCGAGGAACAAGAGCAGAAAAAGAAACAGATACAAAGACCAGATCCCCGGACAGTTGTGTTCAGTTCGTCCGAAGCGACGGTTACGGTTCGATTTTGCCACCTATTTATAAAAAAAACTTTTTTTTCGGAACTTCCGAGAGTGAGTCTACAGAGGAAAGCAGCACAGAATGAGCGCTCCATCGGGAATGTTGTCCAATCTGGCCGAGGTGGTCAAGGAGGCCAAGGATGAGGAGATTCAGGTGCCCAAGTCCAATGACTTCTTCGAGTCGAAGGCCTTCCGCCTGCTCACCCTGGTGCTCTACATGGGCGGCGTTAGCGGCATGGGTCTCACTTTGGCGGTCTACTACCTGTTCATCTGGGACTCACGCATGCCGCCGCTGCCCGTGTTCAAGCACACGCATCCAATTGGCTAGGATCAGATGGCCAGAAAAACAGCCGCCAGCCATATTGTTCTCCCATCGACATCAGTGACCAGATTCGGGTGAGTGGCCTGACCACGTGGAACTGACCACTACAGATTCGAGGTCTTTTTCTTCTATGGCAGTGTTGTTAGACTAGCTACTTTTTAAACAAAATCGGAATTTCTGTATCATAGGTGTTAGATATACCAAAAATATCCCATGGTTGTTTTATATATGCCGAAAAAATCGAAAGTGATTTTAAATCTTTGATAAATGCTCAAAAAAGTATGCTATGAAATTGTTTAAGTTTCTTTATATAAGGTTTCCAATAAAATTTCACAATTTTGGGTGTAATCATCGAAACATCTATGTACTTATAGTATGTATGTACTATGTAAAGTTCTTGCTGCCATACATGTCGTATTAAAAACTTTTGTGGAAACTTTGAGGACGTTTTTCAAGGCATAAAAAAACAATGGTACTTTAAGAATACATTTTTTGAATACTTTTATCTACAATTTTTTAGAACACCCCATTGTACATACACATGTACTTGTACATGTATTTATTTTAGAAAACATTTTTAGGTATATTATTTGAAAAAAGCTAGAAATAAGTTTATTTTTCAGTTGAAATTCTCTTTGTAGCACTTAGCATTTCTTCCAATAACAAATCGAATTTCAAGAAATGAAACTTGTTTTATAAAATGATTATTTTTTCAATCAGTGACAATGGATTATTTGTCAAAGCTTGCAATGCTTTTAAATTATTAATATTAGCCTTTGCTTACATTTACAAAAGTGACCAAAAAAACTTTAATCTCCTTTGTGAAAATCATTGTTAAACCATTTTTTTTGTGACATTGGTTTTGTGGTCGGTTCCGCAACCGCAGAAGAGATTTTCATTTTGCAAAGGCTGTCAACACTGTTGTGGATTCGCTTTTAGGGGCTTAATTAGCCCCCGTGGCCGATATCAAAGTTGACAGCCAGGCAGAAAACTAATCCGCTTTGCTACGTACCACTAAATTGCAGAGTTGGATCCACCTATTCCCTATCTATCTATTCTATTCCATTCCATTCCATCATCCATTTTGGAGGGGGATATGCCGTCATTCGAGTGATTTTGATTTAATCGTGGTGGCGACATCAAATCAGTAGTTGCCACATCGCGAAGTGGACTGGCACGGCTAGAGATATATATCCGTGATGTCCGCTCCGGCGGAATCCACAAGAGTGGGCCTGGGAAATGCGGCCAGTATGGCGAATCTGGCCAAGATTGTCAATCTCATCGAATCGAATGTGAGGGCGGAGGAGGAGACAGAGGTGGGCGAGGAAACGGCCAAGGGATCGAGTGGAACAGGAACCGGAACCGGAAGTGGCAGCAGCGTGCGTCTGGCCAGCAGCAGTGCTCCGCGGCGAAGTGCCTGTGCCACATCATATGTCCCGAAATCGCCGCAGCTGGAGGAGATTGTCTTCGCCAAGCCCACGTGCACCGAACGATTTGCCCGATACTTCGTGATCGTCATCTACCTGTGCGGCCTCTGCTGCCTCGGATTCTTCCTGTCCATCTACCACATCTTCTTCTGGGACTCCCGCATGCCACCCGTCTATAAGGGCCAAAAGAAAGGACCTGCCTTCGGCTAACGGATGGGAGTTGTTCGACCACTTGATTCACCAAAGCAATCCCAACTAAGAAAAGCGTACTTTCATTTTTGGTAAGGAATAGACTATCGGAGGGGCCAAACGAATCATTAGGGGCTTAAAATCACTTTGGATGTCATTTTAGGTGTCTAAAAAACATATTTTATACTCAGAAGTAAAAATAATTTATTCAAAAAGAAGTATATCCTCCTATGTTGCATACTTTTAGACAGCTTAAAGTACATTTAAAAGTGATTTCAAAACCCAAGCAATTTGTGTAGCCCCCACTATCAAAATTATGTCATTTCTAAAGAACAAAAAAAGAAATTTATCGGAAACAGTACACTTAGCTAAATTGTAAGCTTATTCAGAGATAATTTCTAATAAACGAATAACAAAACCTTCAGGGAACTCACTTTTACCTACTCGAAGCGATGTTTTTCAAACATAAGCCGAAGCTTGACCAAAAACGTATCATTCAAAAAACCATTTTGGGAAAAATTCAAATGCTGTTTAAGTGGCATTTTAAGAAACTACTCACATTAATTTAAATTAATTGTTAAATTAAATAATTAGTTTCTGGTATACATTGCGTATGAGTTATATTAAAGACATTAACCTATTTGTCACTCATACGCAGTGTTGGCCCAATAAATTTATTTAATTTGAGATTCATTTAGAGTTACTATTTCAGAGCTGATTGCTTTTGACAGTTTTTTTCCCTTAAATATTCTTGAGATAATAATCTTGGTGAATAAATAGTCTGTTATAAAATCCCACCATTTGTTGATACCCTTTAAAACTAACAACATTTTTGCTTTAAAACTTATTTAATTGCCAATAAAAGGATATATTCCAATTGAGATAATAATTGAATTTCCGTTCACTGTAAAACTAAACTAAAACCAAACTATTTACTTATTAAAATTTGGCTGGGGAAGGAAATCCAATTATTTCTGTTTATTACACTTAATATGCCTGCCCACGTATTTACTCGAGACATGCCATTAGTTCTTATTAAGTTGATATATCTACATACCTCCCTCCTCGGCCGCTTTATTTTTTGCTTGAAAAGTTTTCACCCAACCAAAGTTTAAGTTTAATTATGTGTATCCAACTCTGTATCATGCATGTGCGGGAAATAAGTTTTCCCTCGTTCGTTGGCCACAGCCCCTCAAGTTATCCCTTCGTTCCAGCTGCCCGAGCTGCTTAATCAGCTTTGTCTGCACATAAGTAAGCGGATGGATAAACCATCCTTAAGCTTGGTGGGCCGGGGGCTAAACGGCTGGGGGGGGAGAAATGGGAAATGCTATAGGCCGGGCCCAAAACATTTTCGAGGCCAGCACAACAAGAGGGGAGAAGAAGGGCTTCACCTGGGCACGTTGGCGAATTAAACTCCTTGAAGGAAACTTTGCAACAATACGGCTAGGAAAATGCATGTGAGATAGTGAGAGAGTGGCCTACATCCTGGCCCACATGATGAATATGCATTTAAGTGCAAGTACAGTAGAGCCTTGGTAACTGAAACACGACCAAGTAGAATTTTCTGGAACTTTACTCTAAATAAAAAAAAAGTGTTTCAAATTAATAATTCAAATTAATTAATAAAATATGAAATATACATATTGTCAAAACACTGAACTTATATTCAAAACGATTTAAAAAATTCCAATAACATTTAACAGAGTAATTAAGAGTAGGAGTAGGAAATTTTAAGGAACACACATACCGTTTCCTAATAATTGCCTCACTTTTAATGTGGTTTTCCTAGCATACTTTTGGGCATCGAAATCCTTTGTTCCTTTTTTGCAAGTTCACCTGTACATACATATTTGTGGGTGTGTGACTGGCTATCTCTTTTCTCAGCACAGTGTGTGTGTGTGTGTGTGAAGCTTATACAACAAAATCAATGGCCAACATTGCAATACCGTTCGGCCCTCTCGCTCGCACGCCTGCATTTCGATTCGCCTAGCTGTGCATTCGTTCCGCTCTCACTCTCTTTTCGCACGCTCTCCTTTCGCTCTCTCGGCTTGTCCTAGTGACCCAGTTGCAGTTTGTTAACCCCCCGAAGGCAACGGAAAACGAAGGTGTGCGCGGCGGGGTTAAAAGGTGGTCGGTGCACGGCGTTCGTTGGATGGTGGAATGGGCGGGGCAGCGAAAGTTTGGACGTCCTTCGCGACACCTGCGAAGGTTGCTGTCAAAGCCAGCAGTGCCCCGCACCACCCCAAAAAGCCCCCCACAGAAAATTGCACAATATTTTCATCTCGTTTCGAAAAATTGCAACAAATCGACAAGACATTTGATTGGCATTGAAATTATTGAAATACTGCAAAATTAATTCAAGCGCGCATTTTAATTTCCGCATGTGAGTCAGTTGTATATGTACGTATGTGGGGCTTCAGAGGGTTAAGAGTGCGGGGGAGTGGAAACTGCACTTGACACACAATAAGCGGCAACGTGCCGACGTGCGGTTTGTTTTTGTTTCGGCCGCCTTTTTGTTTTTATTTCGCCTTCAAGGAATGCCATCGAAACGACAACAACCAAAAACAACAACGAGCGTGGGCAGCCGAAAATTGAAATGAGCGCGAGCGAGAGAGATGGATGATTTTATGAATGAAATTAAAAGCGAAGATCGCTAATGCAACGGTAAACGGTAAACTCCCCAAGCCGAAGTTGTCACGAAGGTGGGAGGTGGACGAAAGGGACGGGTGGACGGGGGGACGGCGGGGATAGTCGCTCTCGCACGAAGGAGAAATGCAAAAGCACGAAGGCGAAAAACGGTACCGTACAAACTCCTGCCAGAATCTCTCTCTGTGCTCTCATTTCGCTTGCACACGTTCGACGCGTCGGTTGGCAGTCAAGTTTTGCGCGCTCTTTTTTTGTACTTTTAAGCTCGCCACGCATAAACAATAATAAAATAAAATTTATTAAAAAATACTATGATAAATATATAAAAAGTTGATAACCGAAGAGAAAGGTGGCAAGCTGAAAACCGAAAAGAACTTTGCATTTACCACAACACAATTAATAACTAGACTATAACGGGACACTGCCAAAAAATAACAGTACTCAAACTAAAACTAACGGGAAGCAAACAAAATCAAGAAGAGATATCTCTGAACATATCGAAACAATCAAAATAGATATCCAAAATCAGGATCGAATCAAAAATTGAAAAAATTGCAAAATGAACTCGAAACACAGTTCGCTGGAGGAGAAAGTGAAACTGCCGCCCACGGAGACAATAAGCCGCTGCTACCAGCCGCAGCAGAGCAACCGCAAGGTCATCCGCATCCTGACCGTCGCCGTCTATGTCCTTTGCGTTTCGCTGGCGGCCATCATGCTCTCCCTGTACTACATCTTCATTTGGGACCCCACCATCCGGCCCTTCGTCACCAAGGCCACGCACTGCGGTAAGGCGGGGGCGGAAATGGGTAATCAGCCGGGTAAGACCCGCATTCCACAACTACCCATCACGGGGCCTAACTACTCCATCAAAAACCGGTGACCGATGACCAGTTGGTAACCAGTAACCAGTGACCAGTGACCAGTAACTAAAAGCCCAAAACCAGTGACCAAACCAAAAACCAATCACAGGGCGGACAATTTGCGGTCAGCGGTCAATCTGGGACAAAGCCCGAATCTAGGCTACGAGAGTTAAGAGCTTCTAGTGGTCGTGGTGGGGATAGTGGGATTGGGGATGGGGTTGGGGTTGGGCTACCCATTAGCCGTTAGCCATTACCGATGGGCTTGGGTGGCTGGCAGGATAGCGTTGAACTTTTTTTCAGCTGCAAAATAAAGTGCTTTCAACGGAAAGTGCACACTAAGGACAAAGCCAAACTAATGAACTTTTTTTTCAAGTTGAAAGACCTCCATTGGGAATTTGGACTTAAAAATAATAATCAAAGTTTTTTGAATCAAATAATACATTTAGTTATACCACAAAGCTAAGTATATAATTAACATTAATAATGCACTTTTCTCAAAGCCCATAAAAGAAAAGAACTAATGACTTAGTTCCTTTGGTTTATAGTGTACAGCTATTAAAGTTTTTTTTTCGAATAAAGTACTACAGAAATACCTTAAAAAAATCGCTGATAATTTAAAATCAATAAGTATGCTTTGAATAATTTTACTTAGGTTTTATTTATCAGTGTTTTGAGCTCCAAATATCACCACAGGTTATATAAAAACATAAGGCACTTTTAAAGCAAAACTACCCAAATTTCTTGGCAATATATCTGAATGGGCAACACTTTCTCGGTAAGGACGTGAAAAAGCCGCCCACATTGTTCCACTAGCTTCGGGTTCAGCTCGTTCCGCCGACATCCTTCCTCTGATTCTTGGCTTTTTGTTCAGTTTTTGCAAATCAACTCGAAATTAGGTCAATGGGGTGTCATGCACACGACTACACCCGAACCACCCATTCCACCCAATCCACCCACCGCCCCAAGCACGCCAGGGTGCAGTTTTCCTTGCTGTATTTTCCATTTGCAGTTTGCAGTTCAATAAATCTAATTTGATGCAATTAAATGCAGAATCTGGGAGCTTAATGAAAGTTATACGGCATAAAGGCAAGCAAATTTGAATTTATGACAGCGAGGCTGCACTTTGCCAGAGCAAAATGTAAGGTAATACGCTTAGTGTCTGCTTTCAAAGTATCTTGCCTCGTGTAGGGCGGCGTTTCCAATGCTTTTATTTGAAATTTGATTAACCGCCTGCATAACAAGGCACAAATGCCTACAAGGACGTCTAAGCCTGTGAAAACTGCGGGGAAAATTGGCATATACCATGGGCTTACAAGGGCGGATAAAATTGTCCAGGCTAGTGAAAACAGTATAAATATTTAAGACTTTAATAGAGGGTCTGACTCGTTAATGATTTCAAATTGCAAAGGTCTTTCTCATTACGTACATTTTTAAAATTGACATTTAATAATGATGGGTGTTTCAGAAATCTTCTGTATTTGTACAATCCAAATATTTAAAGTTCTTAAACTGTACTTACAGCTGCGAAAAAAATATTAGCACCATTAACACAAGAAATATTTTTTTGTCACTACATAGAAAACTTGTTTTTAGTTTTTTTCTCTTTGTACTATGCAAATATATATTTTTTAATATTTTAAATATTCAATTTAATAACATATGTATGGATGTTAATTTACTAATGAAATATTTTCTAGACAGTGAAAAAATATTATACCAAAACTAAAAAAAAAAGAATTTATAAACATGCCAAAAACTATAGCAAATCAGATTTACATATCCAGACATTCCTTAGTATTCATTCATAATTCAAAAAAATATTCATTAAAAAAAAACATCCAATAAACAAAAAAAAAAACTGAAAAATAAATAGTTTCTTATTTAAGAATCTGATGCGTTACCGTGAGGGACAATCTTTTCTTCTAATATTTTTATTTAAGATGGTTCTGTGAAAATATTTCACATTCGGCAATTACGCATTAATCCGATGGGGTTTCTTGAGCTTTCAATAAGATGCAATTTTGTAATATATGCTATGAAGTCAGTCATAAACAGTTTTAAAAGAGTTTAAAAAAAACAACGAAATCACAAACAATGAAAACAAATGTTAAGTCTAAACATTTCTTATCCCCCTCTTTGCAGATAAAATTGTGATACCCGAAAAAATAGCCATTCGCCTCCTGAACTCATCGGAAGTGACCGCGGAGCAGTTCTACAAGCACATCCTCGAGCAGTACCGCATCCTCAGCCACATGCAGCAGCAACGCCAGCAGATCCTGCAGCGTCAACATCTCCAGCTGCAGCAGCTGGAGGCGAACAATCGCTTCCAGGAGGTCTTCGCCACGGCCACCATAATCCAGGCACATCCGCATCCCCATCCGCATCCCAGGGAGCCGCCCAAGAAGCCGCTTTTGGGTCCATATACCCCCATACCCGGAAATACAAGTCATTTGATGGGTGGCGATCAGCCGGGACAAGGCAACTTGGACACGGATCCGGATTCGGCTCACATGCCCCTTCTCCTGGACACCTCACCGCCGGCCGAGGCCAATGGAATGGGTCACCTGAAGCGGAAGACACACCGGGGTCACTACAAACACCACAGGGCTCGAGCCGGAGGGCAGAAGAAGCTATCCATTGCCAACTCGATGGCCAGCTCCACGCCGAGCACCACCAGCGGAGGAGACACATCTCTGGCCATGGCCACGGCGGCCACTCTGCCACACGGCTATATGGACACACCACTGAATTCGGCGGCCGGAACCATTGTGCAGCCACCACAACTGCAGCTGTACACCTCGATGCCCATTCCACTGATCCTGAGTCCCAGCGAGGAGAAGCGTCCTTCGCACCACGCCCACGGACATGCCCACGGCGACAGGCGGGGCGGGGCGCAATCCGGCGGACGTCGAAGGACCACGACGGCCTCCGTTTCCGGCTACGAGGCCCAGACCTACCTCAATCCGTTCCTCACCGGCGAGCTGATCTTCGAGAAGTAAGGGATTGAACCATTTAGGGTAGGCCGTGGAGTATTTTTTTTTTTGTAAGCCATATAGAGGTACATACACTACAGTCACAGCCAAGATCGGAAATGGAGATAAGCTCACAGTAAATGGTAAATACCTTCCATACCTGATCATACCTATATCAATGGAGAACTGTTTAGAAGGGCATCACTACTCACAATAATTCAGATAGGCTCAGTACTGGCATAAGCCAAACGGATATATATTTCAATAAACTTGGTTAGGCTGTTGTATATGGATATATTTTCCAAATTAGTAGCGGTATTAAACATTTCATATTGAAATTTACACATATATATATATCTCATTTTATACGTAGAATATGTTTGAAATTGAACAAATTTTAAGATTTATAGAATGAACTTAGGAACAAGAGTTGTTATCGCTTGGTTTATAGTGTTAACTAAAATGCAGCTACAGCTAGGAGATTTGACTTGTGTCAGTACTGGGCTATAATTTGGTCTATATATATACAGAGCCAGGCCCGGCCACATATAGAGGTTAATAGATGTTACGTACTGCAAAAGGATAGTTGAAACCATAGCTAAACTATAGTCGATGTACCAACTACACAACCACTCAACAACACACTCGAAAGGGGCACACACACACGCATAATACGGGACCCACTTCAGTAGAAAGTCACTCGATATCAGCGATCACGGATCACGTATCACGAGTCACGGATCACGGATTCGGATCACACAGGCGGCTCACCTCACCAAGCTCAGCAGCAAACTCACCCCACCTAGGACACTGCTTCCAGGCAGCTAGCGAACGCTACACCAACTACAATAATTAGCCAACCCTAGAGTAACCAGTTTACCAGTAACCAATTACCAGTAACCCATCCAAGGAATATACCCCCTCAACACGGGGAAGCGGATAAATGTCACTATAATTCAGCATCAGAACAAATCACACTCACACCTCCAAGTCGCCTCACGCAAAGAGATCAATGTTACTGCTAAAAATCGGTTATATGTATAATATATATAAACCATAGGTAATACATCAACTCCAAATTATCAGGGAAATATCATATTATATCTGCCTGTTCTTTTACCCAGGGAAATTTGAAAAAATATGTTCAAAACCCTTTCGAAACGTATCAGTTATTACATTTTTAAAAACAAAGTTAAGACAAATTAGTCACAACTTCAATATTGAAACAAAAGATTCGCACTACAGAGCGGCCTATAAAAAATTAGCTGACGTATTACCTATAGGCACTTGCTTCGCAAGATAAAACCCGGCGTGCTCAACTCAAGAACAACTATTTGGTTATATATATGGGGCATATAACCGATGTGTGACGTGACATTGGCTCGGTCTATTCACATACTCGAACACTAAATGCAAACCTATCAAAAACGAAATACACTAAGCGAAAAAGCGGGAAAGATAGTTGGAGGAATGTTGAGGAAAGAGAGAGAGAAAGAGGAGAGATAGAAATATAGAGAAACTGCATCTGCATCCAAAGACACGAGAATTGAATTCATCAATAATAACATACGTATAAACGATATGCATACGACATAGAATTGAATCTGTAACTGATGGGCATATACCGCATATATATCTTATATACCGCATATATCTTATATATGTATACCACAAAAAAACAAAGTCATTTTGGCAATAATAAAGCATAGCAAACGAAAACGTGCCATTTGTCGTCTTTTATTCTAGGTTATAAAGAAAACAAACCATTATAAAAACTAAAAAAAACATATGAAATGACAGATTGATAAGAAATTGTCAAGTTAATTCAAAGGTTTACTTTACCATCACAGATTTTAAAAGATTATAGTACTTCACCCTCATTAAAACTGATAATATACCATTCTAGACTCAAAGGCTTTTAACAAAAACAAAGTTCTTAAATCACATGTATCACCATATTATTCTTTCTACAACTATTTATAGTTATTTCACAACTTTGAATGGCAGGATACCATATAATAATAGATTCAGCAATCTCACTTGTAACCGTACAACTCATAAAAAATCTTGTTTTTCTTTCACTCACCGAACTCGCTCTCACAATCTATCACATAACCGGGATTATCCATGATGTCCTTGATCTTCGCGTTGGGATATGGATAATATATATGTTCCCGAAATGGGATGAGGATATGTTGCGACTGGCGGCGCTGTTCACGGCCAACTGATCAGCTCCGTGGTGCTGGGGACTTAAAAGTACGGCCCAGTATCTGGCCACAGGGGTACGTGCTTCAAAGTCCGATCGCTATTCTGTTCTGTAAAGCTCTCTACGGTAACCCACTCGTAAAACCCGGCGAGAGATATCCGCAACCGCACCAAAAATAAAGACGAAAGCAAAAGCTGTAAATCTTAAATAACCTCACCATCTTCTGCAAGTCAGTATCGTGGTGTAAAAGATCTTCGTTCGTTGGCTGGGTAAGCAAGCCCCTCTATTGCTATCTGGAACCAACAAACCGTAAATGGAGCCACGTTAGATCAAAGAATTACCCCCTGGGGACTGGATGTCTAAAAGGCCAAACTCCTAAAAATAGGCTTCCTGGAGCTTAGCAACAGCTTTGATCGGTAGGTAAAGTTCATGCGTAAGTGGGTTTTAAAAGGATTACTGGTACAGTGCGGTTCAAAATTTTAAGGACATTATCAATAGTTTAATTTTAAAATACTTATACTAAAATACTTACATTTTGCTCCATAGGTCAAATCAAAAAATAAATCCATCCCACTTGTGCCTTAAAGCCCTACCAAATTACAAAACAATAAGTCTGATTGAAGTAAAATAAAAAACACTTTATTGATATTCTCATGCAAGCATATCATATTTGTACTACAAGAGGTAATAAAAACATTTAGTTATAGTTTTCGACACCTTTATTAGAGGTTTCAGAGACGTTGTTTTACAAAATGACTGGTCAACACTAGGAAATAATTAAATTAAAACCGAAATCTCTAAATTATAACGTTAAATGACAGTAATTCTACTCTTTAGTTCAGTCTAATGAAAACGCAAACTTCAATAATAGACCATAGCTGATTTTTGAAGAGACATTTTATTTAACAACTACATTAACGCCAAGATTAAATCAATTCGATTGATGACTTATGCCTGGACCGATTTACATTCGTTTTGTTTTGGCGACTATCCAGAACGTCGGCCCACGAAGAGCCCAGTATTTTGGCGTCCCGCACTGTAAGCGGATAATATGGCCAAGTCACTACCAGCAGGGCACATAAAGATAGGCCCCCGAGACGCGACAGGTTGATCCCGGGCCATATACGCACTCGTAAAGGGATCCACAGATCTAAGTGGTCACAAACAAGCGGATACACACATGTCTATCGGCTGTAAAACATTAAAACTGATGCTTTATGCATTGGCAAACAGACGAGATAGCAATAGCCACACGCGGCCCTCTCTTTCTCAGCCATGTCGGGAGGGTGTTTTGGGTTTTTTGTTCTTTACATATCAACGTTTATTAGAAAATCTTCTTTCCATAGTCTAGGTTCCTTATAGTTGGCGTTCATGCTGCTTAACTGTACAGTGAATACAGTACCATCCCCACACGCACGGGCGTCGTGTCCATTATGGCCATCAACTATCAACTATCCACGATCCGCACTCAGTGATTATGGCCCTGCCTAAGAACTCACTCCTTTCGGTGCGCTTAACTTATAGGACAAAAAAATATAAAACAAAAACTTATAACAAAACATATTGCGTGGGGGGAGGGGGTGTAATCGATTGGGGGGAGTGGAACATCCCGCCAGTGAGGATCGCAAAGATTGAGCCCAAGGGGAATCGCAGTCGCATTGGATTTATACATACATACAAACATTGAATGGAAGAGTGAAATACAGTGGAGGCTGCGGATGCGGATGCATGAGGTGCCTGTGGATGCGCCGGAAAGTACGGAGTGCGATAGTCGAGGTGCCCACAAAACCGGTCACCGTGCTTAGAACTGAAACGGCGGCGTATCCCGGCAGGTGTGGGCGCCCATCGGCGTGATGACCACATGCAGGGTCAGTGTGTTCCGCGCGGTGCCCGTCAGGTGGGGACTCAAGTACGGGGATGTGTGCTCCAGCTCCTCGTACGGCAGCAGGTTGTCCAGGTTGATAACGCGCGACGTATCCGAAAAGTACTCCGTCCGCTCCACCACCGTCCGGATGTGCATGATCTGGTTCTGCACGCCCACGATCAGCACGGCGATCTGGAACACAAAAAGCAATTTAAAGAGGAACTTTAAAGCCCGTACAATCTTAGCTATCTAAGATTAAATGTTTAGCTTAGCAGGAGCAAGAGCTAGTTAATGAGTTATGAAGAATGCAAAAATGTTTGGTTTTGATTACAAAGTAAACAATCAAGTAAATATATATCTTCAGAACTAAAAATTACAATTAAAAAAGGTTAATACATCCCTCTAAATTGACCCAAACTGGCACCCATCACTCACCTTGAAGCGCTCCTCGCCAATGTTTTGATGCTTGCAGGTAACCCGTAGCCGCACTGTGTTTAAGGAGCAGCCTGGCACATCCTCGCCCCATACCATTTTGGCCTTGTTGTACCTAACGCCCCGAGGGAAAAACTCTATCTCCCAGGTCATGCCGGGATCTGCGAATTTAGAAGCTTAATTTCAGTCAAGCTATCCAACGAAGCCCGCTGACCAGTACTCACCGTCCTCTTCAGTCTCGGCGATGTGGCGCTGCGAAAAGAAGCAGGTCACATAGTTCTTGTAGTCCTCGATCGCGTCAAAGTTGTGCACATCGATGTCGACGCTCCATGTGTCGTTCCAGTAGAGTCGCGGCGTGAACTGCAGCTCACCCGATTCGGTGGCTCTCACCTCACGCACACGATCCTCCTGCCCCGACTGATAGCTCATACCGATGGCAATGCGCTCGACGAGGAACTCCTTGTGGTACTCGATCAGCGGATCCATCAGTAAGTGCGATAGCTGCCGCGGCGTCATCATGCCAAAGCGGATGTGGGACACCGTCTGCTCGATCAGCTCCATGAAGCTGCCGCTGGCATTAGCCTCCATCTGTTCGCGACGATGCAACAGCCACGTTTGCAGGATGGCGAACAGTTTGTACTCGCTGGTGACAACCAGATCGTTCTGCTGCAACAGCAGCTGCAATATGGCCGGGTCCATTTCCACAAAGTCACGCGACTCGGCCACCATCTCGAGGTTCCATTTCAGGAACCGCTTCAGCGTCTCGGTGAGATCGTTGTGGGTGGGCGTGAAGGAGAGCGTGTACTGCAGCCAGGAGACCAGGTAGCCACTGGTGGCCGCCTTGGCCACGTGCTTGTTCATGTAGCCCACGCAGAGATCGATCAGGTCGCGCACATTGTACTTGTCGCTAAGCGCCAGCATCGGCATCACCGTCTGCAGCGTAACCTCAATGTGGCCCACGTACAGGTACTTGATAAACTGCGGAAACACCGCCGAGCAGCAAGCCTCCTCGTGCAGTTCGATCACATGCTTGCTGCACTCGTTCCACTCCGGATTCATAAGCATCACCTGAAAGACGTCGCTGCTGGCGCACAGGATGACACGGTGGGCGGGATACTCCTTGCCGTCCACCAGGAGCACTATGTCCGACATCAGCTGTTCGGCATACAGGTTGGCGATCTTGTTAAGCACACTATTCGCATCGATCATCTGGTTGGGCAAGAAATTTTAACAGAATTAGTGATACTTTTTAAAGAGCTCCGGGGGACAAGCTATTTTAATGCCGTGCCTATAATCATAAGTCATATTTTTCTCATCACACATACATAAGTGCCAACTGCAGTCCTTTAAAGGGACAAATAATATCATTAATTCTGGTTTCTATAACTTGGACTATAACAAGTGTTTACATTTGAACCAAAGAGTAATTTTATGACAACATTGTGTATAATTTAGCAGCCTAACACTATTTGTCTGAGGTATGGAAACTTCAAAATATAAGTTTAATTTATTGTATACGATTTTGTAGCTAAAAGCTATATTATCATATTATTTTGATCGACTGAGAAAAGTGCCTTTTCATGACATAAAATCATTGCATGGATATAGATTTTGTATGTGCTCATATGTTTATGGTATTTCCCTGGGATATAGAGGATCTCTTGGCGATTAAAGGCCCATCTAAGACATAATACCCACCGTGCTGGCTCCATCCTGGCCTTCTTCTGATTCGCGACACTTGCGCCGCTTGGCGTCCTGATCCTCGTTAGAGTTGGCTCCATTCGCAGGGTTGTCCGATGTGCTGGCGCTGATTCCATTGGGATTTCCCGGGGAGTTTGCCGACCCATCGCCAGCGCCTCCACCTGCTGCTCCGCCAGCTGCGTCGCCAGCCTGATCTGCTGCAGCTGCCCCGCCACCAGGCCCTCCACCAGGACCACCTGCTCCGCCTCCTCCTCCTCCTGCCCCGCCACCTCCAGCACCACCTGCGCCAGCAGCTCCTCCATGCGCACCTCCTGCACCACCCACTCCTCCAGAGACGGGCGCTGCTCCTCCGTTACCGCTGGCGTTCATCGGGGATACCGGGGTTCGCTCTGCGCTGGCAAGTCGCTCAAGGACACTCTACAGGACGGCTCTGTTAGTACGAGCTAAAGACATGGTAAAAAGTCTCTTTTCCAGATGAAAACAAAATTGCAGTAGAGGTGGGGAAACATCGATGCC